TAAGGGCCTTGTAATAAGAGTTTTCTCATGAAAATGCGCCTTTTTTACGCGCAGAATTACGTGACTTTCTCTCTACTCCGTAACGAGAAAGTAAAAAATAACTTCTTTTGTTTAAGAGTACATTAGCCACCGTGGGAGGATAGAGTGGACAAATGTATATGTTTTGAAAAAGTGTATTTAAAATATATTTAGGAGGAAAGCATTAAAAATGCTTATATCAAAAAGTAAACATGAAATACTGAGTTGTACAACAGGCACAGAAAGTACATTAAATTAAATAATCTAATTTATAGCATTCTGAAAGGAAAATAACCACTCTAGACCTCTGTCCCCTACGTTTCGTTCTATGAATACGGTAATTTATATCTGGTTGTTTTCTGCGAGACGCCCTATTGTAAATTATTGCTCTTCTGAGTTTGTAATAGTTGAAATTTCTAGAAAGATGTTCTTTCTTCTACTCTTAGAAATATTGAAAGAGCTAGTGAGAAAGCAGTCTATATTCAGAATATATGAACGCTGCTTTAGTGTTTTGGTAGCAAGATGTCTTAGGAACTACTTTACAAATATCTCTGCCATATACAACAATTTCTATTGCTGGGAGTAAGTAATCGGTATTAAGCAGTTAAATAAATATCGGAGTTTTTGAGAAGCAGAATAGTATACACTGTCATGCTCTCACCTCTAATTTAACTTGGAAAGCACCGGCTAGCTCTCGACTCCTGATGGTTACCTGCTAGTGACTGAAGGAGGATGGACGTTGTAGAAAAATGAACGAAGTTATTCAGTGAAACATAATTTCTTTAGTTTAATTTCTTAATAAACAAAACAAAGAAAGGGATTTGAATGATCTCGTTTCATCTCCAAAACGTATTATAACTAGATTACCATAATTCTTAATGAAAAATCTAGTTACATTGAAAAACAAAGAATTTTTCATTCTCGCCAATGCGCGGCCAGATATTCGCCATTACATGCGATTTTTCTAAAAGTCTGTTCATAACTTTTGTCTATCAGTCGACAGTCAAAAGAGAAGTTCTCCACACGACAGTCCAACCACAAGTACTTTCTGCGGCTGGTAGAGTATCTCCTCCACTGGTGCTCTCCCCATGCTCTTGTTCCAGAAAGTTCTAAATCGCTCCGGAATCTAATGAGCACGCCTGGCCATTACTCACTAAGTCGCAAGTTAACCTCGTTCAACCATGCAAGGGGCTCCTTCTGGAAAATTCTATTATCGCTATCGGCTGATGGTGTAACGGTTAGCGTACTGAACTGTTGTACCCAAGTTGGCGGGTTCAAACCCGATCGAAGCCGTGGATTTAAGGGCGAAAAAATCCTTCGTACGCCTTCCTTCGGAGGGGAAGTAAAGCCGGCTGTCCCATGTTCGTAGATTTACTTGCATGTAAAAGATCCTCAAGCCTAAATGCCGCCTCTGAGCTAAATTAAAATCGTCTGTTTCTCGCCCAAGATATACCTCCTTTCTCTGCTAGTTGGTGAAAGGTGCGTAGCGAAATTTGCGTGGTCAGACGGAAGAGCAGGCCTAATGGCCTGAGTCTCGCCACGTAAAATATGGCATCAATTCAATTCAATTCAATTTCTCACACTGTTTATAAAAGGCACGTGTCTCCGCTGCGCATGTTGTCATCGTCGGCAGCCAAAAACGTTGCATGACTGTCAGTTAATCATCGCCAAGTTGGACGGGCAGACGAGTGCGAGGAATGGGCGAAGTGTGCAGCTGCCTTTTCGCAAGCACTCCCCCTTTGTAAACAGAGGGGATGGGCTCTCGGCGGCCGCCGCGTGTCTTTACCGTAGATACTCACAAAGGAAGAAAGGGGTGGGCGAGTGGGAGAGAGATTGCCGACTGTACGGCGCCGTGGAAGAAACAAAAGCTCTCAATTCCGTCGTTTTTACGTCGTATTTGATAGCATTTTGCAATAATTAAGAACCCGTATTGTAATAAATTTTAATCAGCAAAATTCAGGGACGGCACACTGCATACATGTTTCTTTTTGTCTTTCTCTTTTGGGAGGTGGAAGAAGCCGAAACTTTACTGCCTCATACACTGAGGTGACAAAAGGCATGGGATAGCAATGAAAATATACAGACGATAGTAGTATTGAGTACGAAATGAATAAAAGGGTAGTGCATTCGCAGTACAATCATTTGTGCTCAAGTAATACATGTAAAAAATATTTCTAACGGGATTATGGCCTCGTGTTGGGAATTAACTTTGAACGCGGAATGATAATTGGAGCTGGACGCACGAGACATTCCATTTCGTAAATCGTTAAGGAAATCAATATTCCATCCGAAGGTTCAATCAGATCAGCGGTACTGATCAGTGTCAATCAGATCCACAGTACCGATCAGAGCAGTCGGCCGCTGGAATTCTCCTCCAGACAGCAGTTGAATTCGTTCTAGCCAGTGTTTAAAATCATACCACCGTCTGAACTGTTACCCTAATCACCCGAGTCAGAGGCATTGGAGTAACATCAATTCATGCCCTGTGCCACCAAAGCGAGTACAAACTTAGAGCTTGCCTTAGATGAAACGGCACTCCGCTGGGGGCGAGATAGCTGTACGAAGTCGACGTGCAAGTCGACGTGTAGGGCGGTGTTGGATCTCATGTTCTATTGGGAAGAAACTCCGCCTCATCTTGAGTAGTACCGAACATTACACATAATTATTATGTACTAGTGGTTGGTACGTCCGGAAACAAATACTCAAGTCTTAAGTAGTAAATGCCCAACCCCCCAAGTGATGCTGTTGTGGTCGTCCGTGCTCGAGTCGTTACGGCGCTGACACGTCACGATGACGCCACGCCGAACCCGATATTTTACAGCTCTCAGCACATTCCGAAGCAGTGTCTCTGGTTACAGCGGCTCCGCGCACTTCCTCGTGGGTCGGATTTCTTTTCGAGGGCAGGAGAACGACGAATTCGATTTTCATCAGAGAACTGGATGTGTCAAACTTGGTCGTTAAAAACTCCCGCAATGAAAATGTCGACAAGAATTATTCTTCAGACAGCGTCTGAATTAGACGTAGCTGACAAGGGAGACAAAGTAGGTTATCGTTGATTTTTGGAGTAAGTTCAAACGCGGGACAAGGGGTCGGCTAATATTCAATTGGAAATCTTCAGCATACATGTGGTGACAATTTTTTATTGACTTGCTTATATCATTAACATAAATAAGGAACGTGAGGGGACCTAACACTGAGCCCTGTGCAACGCCGCGTGCTAATGGCAATGTACAAGGCACACTGTCACCGCACACGTTTTAGCTGCCGCTCAGATAGATAGCTGGAGAGCCATTTGTGTGGATGTCCAATGTTTATTAACTTTACTAACAAAATATCGTGATCGACAGAATCGAATGCCTTGCCAAAAATCGAGAATTGTGATTTTACCGTTGTCCACTGCATTTCTGGCGTCTTCAATTACACTGAGGAACACAGTTCTTTTACCGAGTCTAAACCCTGACTGCTTTTTGTTCAAAATACTGAAATTTTGAAGGCGATGCTCAATCTGTTTTCTGGCGATATTTTCAAGAACTTTTGATAATATTGGCAAGATATTGATGGGACGGTAATCAACAGGCGTCATAGGATTGGCGCTTTTAGGGAGAGGATGGACAAGTGCTCTCTTCCAGGCCGAGGGAAATTCGCCGCTCATTAGCGAGAAATTTATGATGTCTACATTTGTCAGGAGGGAGAGAGAGAAAGAGAGGGAGAAAGAGAGAGAAAGAGAGAGTGAAAGAGAGAGAGAAAGAGAGAGAGAGAAACAATCAGAAAGACAGAAAAAGAGACGGATACTGAGGGACAGGGACAGCGAGAGAGACGGGAGACGGAGAGAGAAAGGGAAAGGGAAGATGAAAGAAAGAGATGGAGGGCAGGACAACGCTAATGTCTCTCTCTCTCTCTCTCTCTCTCTCTCTATATATATATATATATATATATATATATATATATATATATATATATACATTGGCGGGGACACGTTTATTATGGATAAATTGACTCTCACATACAATTATCTGTTGAGATTTCCCCAGGCTGATAATAATTATGGGCGTTAATTCACTTACAAGATGGTGATGATTGTGATGTCGCTACTTCACCCTGAAAGGATTACCGGTCCAACACCGATCATCTGCATCGGAGGACCCGTTGAAGTGGCCTGTAGTCGCCCGGAGCGCCCGCGATGTCAGGCTGGGCGGGAGATCATCCGTGGCCGTCCGCGGATTGAGAGTCGATTTTGATGCGCAGGCCGTCACACGTCGCCTGGACCGCGTTTTACACCCTCGCGGATAATTTCAGGGTGTTGATCCTATTATCCTAGTCCGTCATCCGGTATATATTCCGGTGCTGAGTGAGGGCTGGTAGGATCGTGTGAAAAACAGCGATCGTCTGTTGAATGGCTGTTGGCGCCGTTTAACCAAGAACTGTGGACTCTCTAAGGGCCGACCGATCGCTGTCGAGATTCTTTCTCCAATAATCATATCTTTCTAGCGCCCTCAGCGCACTCGATTCCCGTCCCCATTCTTTTCGCAAGATGCGTGAGCTCTGTCACGTGCGTAGCGCAAAGACTTTTTTGGCTTGTTCAAAAGTTTCCAGAACATTCTGTCACCCGAGCTCTGTGATTGGGTTAGGAGGACCGCCCATCTTTTCAACCTTCACTTCCTAACATGTAATAGGTTGTTTATTGTGCTCCATCTAGTGCCTACGTGACTCGACACACGTCTATGTCCCTTTTACGAAGCTTCATGGTTTATTGTCCCATAGGAATTAGCTAGCGAGTTGCTCCCGAGTCTCTTAATACGACTGGTCCGGGAGTCAATCACCTACTGCCAAACACAAAGGTCGTAGGGGTGCTTTTCGGAGGCGGGCGACCGTCGGGGTATCCTTCGGAAGCTCAATTCAATTTCGTACTAAATGAATTTAATCACTATGTTTCAATATTGTTACTGATTATCATGCATCGTAATGTGATTTTATTGTTGCAGAGGACCCGAAGACGATTATGCAAGACAGTATTTTGTGTGCACGTTTGATGGAATTGTTGCCTGAGGACGCCCAAGAAAGGACAGAGAAATTTGCCACAGATGCTACATTATGTATCGAAACTATGTCGACGTGCTCAAGGTATCCTAGAATGTTTCCGAGTTTAGATTCAAATTATCATTCTCATTACCCCAGGAACGAAAACAGTTGCACGACCTTTCCCTTCTTGGACGTAGATTGCCGCCATAGAATGGTGAAGTTTGATATCATGAGCTCCTCTAGTTCATCAAATTCATCCTTAGAAAATTCAGAGGAATGTGACTTTGAACCAAAATATTACATGGAAGCGACATCTGTAACCGAGGAAATAAACAGCATAACGCAGATGATGTCCACCGTCAAAGCAACTGATGAAACTACAAATCGACGTTCTCCACAGTTGCAAACTGTGACTTTAGTGGGAAAATCTGACGTTAAATCGGCTTCAGCAATGGATATTATGTACGTTAATGTGACTACAGAGGACGTAACTAAAGCAGCATCAACTGCAGCAATGGATATTAGTTGTGGGAAGCTGTCTTCAGAGAAAATCGCCGCAGCAAGATGTACTTCAGAAAAAGCTATTAGTTACATGGATATCTCCTCAGGAAAAGTATCTCAAGCAACGTCGACTGTCTCAATGGATATTAGTTGTGTCAATATGTCTATAGATAAAATAGCTGACGCAAGGCCAACTGCAGAAATGGCTATTAGTTATATGGATGTGTCTTCAGGAAAAGTATCTCAAGCAACGTCGACGGCATCAATGGATATTAGTTGGGGAAATATGTCTTCAGAGAAAATAACTGGAGCTAGATCAACTGTGGAAATGGCTACTAGTTCTATGGATGAAACTTCAGGAAAAATATCTAAAGCAAAATCCACCGCCTCAATGGATACTAGTTGCGTCAATGCTTCTTCGGAAAAAATAGCTGAACCAGGATTGACTGTACCAATGGCTACTGACTTTACGGCTGTAGCTCCAGAGAAAATATTTAAAGCAGAATCGGTAGTATCAATGGATACTAGTAATACCAATGCGACTTCGGAGGAAAAAGGCGATGCAAGATCGACTGTACCAATGACTATTAGTTCTGTAGATAAGGCTTCAGGAAAAATATCTGAAGCGAAATCGACTGCAATAATGAATACTAGAGGTGTGAATATGTCATCGAAAAAAATAACTGAAGCAAAACTGACTGCCACAATAACTGTTAGTTCTGTGGATGTAGCTTCAGCAAAAACATCGGCAGTAATAATGACAACTTCAATGGATACTAGTAGTGTGAATATAACCTCAGGGAAAGCAACTGAAGCAACTGTTCGAATGGCTACTAGTTCAATGGATGTGGCTTCAGGAAAAACATCTGAAGTAAAATTGGCAGCATCAATGGAGACTAGTAGTGTGAATATACGTTCAGAGAAAGTAACTGAACCAACTGTTCGAAAGGCTACTAGTTACATGGATGTTGCTTCAGCAAAGACATCTGCAGTAATATTGTCAACTTCAATGGATACTAGTAGTGTGAATATAACTTCAGGGAAGGCAACGAAAGCAACTGTTCAAATGACTACTAGTTCTATAGATGAGGCTTCAGTAAAAACATCTGAAGTAAAATTGACATCATCAATGGATACTAGTAGTGTGAATATACGTTCAGAGAAAGTAACTGAACCAACTGTTCGAAAGGCTACTAGTTACATGGATGTTGCTTCAGCAAAAACATCTGCAGTAATATTGACAACTTCAATGGATACTAGTAGTGTGAATATCACTTCAGGGAAAGCAACTGAAGTTACTAGTTCGATGGATGTGGCTTCAGGAAAAACATCTGAAGTAACATTGCCTGCTCCAATGAGTACTAATGATGTGAATGTGTCATCTGAAAGAGTACGTAAAGCAAAACCGACTTCAATTCACACTAGTCGTAGAGATTCGACTTCAGAAACTAAATATGAAGCAAACACGGCTACCATAATGAATACTCACCCGCAAATTAAGATAAAGAGGGCTTTTTCCATAGACGAAAGTACATGGGCTCAGCTTCCTCTCTCAGGTAGGAAGAAACTGGCATATTAACGAATTCTAAAGATATTTACTAGGAAATCTTGACTGTTCGGGAGTCGCCGCATTCTAGGTGGAGTACAAAATACCGCAGCCAAATATTGGCAACTACCTAGAATGCAGCGGCTCTAGGAGAGCATGCACTCCATGGCTTCCGGCCGCAGAAGCCATCCTCTCATCATTGACAGACGTTTTTTCTCGCTGTTTAAAGAGGAGCAAGTCGGCGAAATGGCTCAAGAATCTACCGTTCCAGTGGGATGCCGTCGTATTCTACGAGCAAGGAGACCGACAGGCTCTGCACGTCATCGCACCCCGAAGGACACTGAAAGGTATTTCTTTCTTTCTTTCTTTCTTTCTTTCTTTCTTTCTTTCTTTCTTTCTTTCTTTCTTTCTTTCTTTTTTTCTTCTTATTTATTTATTTATTTATTTATTTATTTATTTATTTATTTATTTATTTATTTATTTATTTATTGTAATTTAAATATAAACTTTTACGGGAATTACTATAATGGGGAAATGAATACTGAGCGGTTAAAAGCCCCTGGAGTTGAAGATATGTAACGTGCTTGTGTTCACAATTGTCTTGTCACGCGTCGGGCAGACATTTTGTAACAAGCATTAACACTGAACGCTACTAATTAATCTTATTTTATCTTGCCCCAAGCTGGGCAGCTATTTGTAACGTTTTCATGATTTTCTAATTTAATTTGCCGTGCTATGCTCGGAAATTAATAGCTCTAATAAACTCTAATTGCTCTAACAACTCATAATTTGGCTGGCTCTATTTTTCTTTATTTATCCCGATCTCGCATGAGGTCGACGTACAACATACGTCACCATACCTGTTGCACGTGGATGTGTGACTGTACAGAAATCACGATTCCTGGAACTTCTGTGAAATTTACAACTTAATGAATTGATGGCATTTCAATGAAATATCAGTCTTTTCTTTTCAAAAAACAATTAAAATTTACTGTAAAGTTCTAATAACATGTCTGGAGCTCGTTATTGATAAATGATTCTACGGCCTTTGAAGATTGTTAAACCGTACGGCTTCTCCTGTGGTGTGATTTGTGAACCTAATGTGCGTGCAAACAAATGTACTCGACTGTTGATAATTATTTAGTTAGAGCGTAGGCTTTCGCGGCCGGAGTCAGTATTTCCTAGGCTGTCCAGGTGACGCCGCGTCCATGGCGTAGGTGCCGACGTTTCGGTCGCCATTCTGCGACCTTCCTCAGGGCGTAATGCCTAGGATTAGTTCCCGAGGAAGGTCGCAGATTGGCGACCGAAACGTCGGCACCTTCGCCATGGACGCGGCGTCACCTGGACATTCTAGTAAATAATTATTTAGTGCGCTATTCTAAAATCCCTAGTAACCTAGTGAGGGAGAGGCGCGACTCGGGACGGCGCTCCTCGCCTGATTTTGCTGATACCGGGCGACCGAAAACGCCAAAGTTAGAACTCGCATCTCGAAAACCGAGACCGTCGCGAACGAGAGGTATTTTTCGTTTGAAGCGACCGGCGAGACGTAACCGAAAAGCTAAAAAGTGCAAATGCTCTCGGACGCACCGTTTGGCCGTCAAAAAATCGTCAAATGTCAAACGACACCACGTGACGACGTGGAACTTTCAAAAACGTCACGTCCCGGAAGCGGAACCCGAGGCTCTCGCGGCCTCGGCGCCCCGAGAGCGAGACTTGGCGGGTACGACGCATTTTGAGGCTGCGGAGGAAACGTACTAGATTAAGGGGCAACGGGATACTGTCCCGCCGAAACTAAAACATGGACGCGCGCCGCCTTTCTGACGCCCAGACCCTAAAATTTTTTCTCGATTTTTTGCAAGTTTTTTTTTCGTCTCGCGTTGTTTGAAAGTGTCTCAAACGGAGATGGTAGTCGAATTTTAACCAAAACGCAGTACCGCTTCACGGCCTTTTGGCTAAAATCAAAGTGTATTTATTAGATTATTTAACATTTTGATATGTTAGTTTTTGCTGCGGTCTTTTAGCCCCATTTTAGCTGTTGCTGCCTCCTTTTTTGTCCACTCTTGTTGTAGATGTTATTTCGTTGTCGATATTGTATAGTTTTGTTTTTGTTCTCCTTCCTTGCCTCCCTGCCTGTCCCTCCACCCCCTACCCAGCTCCTTTTCATTTTTATTTTCCTCCCGTATTTTCCGCTCTCTTTATGACCATAACCAGGAGAAATCTCCCCCTCCCCACTTGCCTGGGCTTCAATCCCAATGTCGTGTTGCCCCCTCAGCGTCTTAACCCGGAATGCTGGGTTGCTCGAAAGAGGCGACTTTGACGCGTCGGCCCGAATGCCAAGGGGCCGAAATCGAGAAAGTCGGCCTTTTCGAACTTGAATACCTTCCAGGCGAATGCCGTCACCGCGTTGCCCCGTCGCGTGCGCGCATTACGCTCGCCTGGGCTTCGATTCCGGGCTCGCATTTCCCCCTCCCGGTCTTATCCCGGCAGGCAGGGTCTCTCGAAGGCGACTTTGACGTGTCGGCACTCTTCAGGAGGTGCCGACGTGGTGAAAACGCGCTTTTGAGCCATGAATAGATTCCAGGCGAATGTCGTCAGAGCGTCTGCCGCTCGTGTGCGAGCATTAGGCTCGCCGGGGCTTTGACGACGAGCCCGCTTTTCCTCCGGGAGGTCTTGCCCCGGCATGCAGGTTCTCTCGAAAAGCTAACTTTGACTCGTCGGCCCCCGCCGACATGGTGAAATTTCTGTTTGGCGCCATGTCTTGACGGCGTAATGTCTGTCTGTTTGTCCGTTCGACCGTATGACTGTCGCCAGTGCTAATGCCAGCCGCTTTTCTCCGAAATTGATAATATGCCATCAATTTTAAGGAACCCAAGGCCCTCTGAATTTGAAGCGGATATTTTGATTTTTGGGGGTACATTAAATGCAACCCAATCATTGTTCAAAAGTTTCTCGAAACTGACAGAATTTTTGGATTTCACTTTGTCCTCAATCGTTGAAGTGCAGGCTTCATTATCGTCACAATAATTGATCTGTCGAAAATTGCGAAAGGTCTTTTTCAACAACTATGAAGACGAAATCTGTTGAGGGGAAATGGTAGGAGATATTAAGGATTATTACAAAATAAGAGAAATTTTGTTACCTATATACAAAATTACTGAGGAAAGATTGACAGAAATTCTTCGCGATTAAGAAAACGTCCAATAAATCTTGGAAATATGAATCTTTTGCTTTAAAAATACGATTTAGTGATTGGTTGGAAGAATAAAAGTATCTCCAGCCAAGGAGACAAAATAATTATTGCAGATAAAAAAAGGTGCGTTCCATTTGTAATTAACGAGCATGTAATAAGTAATTTAACTAAGTATACAAAACCGGAAGAGGTAGTTAAATATTTAGAAGATTATGATATTAGATGCAATGTTAGAAATGAAAACATGTGATCAGTATTAATTTTGTTAGAAGAAACAAATATGTGATTGAAAGTAGATAAAGTGAAAGTGAAGTTTTATATACTGGTTTTCAAAATCATTGGGAAACTAAGGATTCAAAATACGTTTAATGATTTTTTTAAAAATCAGACTACATGGCACAATTTGATAAAATACAATTTTAGAAATACAATTTTACTTTTGTAAGGGAATAAAGCATATACTAACGTATTGTCCGAAATTGAATGACAAAAATTGAATGGTTTGAGAAACTTGGCAAGTTAAGTTACTTGGAGTAATCACTCCAAGTAAAGAACCATAAATGTTCAATTTATGAAATTGAAAATATTGGAAATATAGCCTCTTCAATAGATTTAGTAAGTTTACCAAGCACTCTATACTAGTGAAAACATATGAGTAAGTACTTTCTTGGCAGAAAACCCCATTTGTATACCTACAGTTAAAGTAGAAATACGTGGAGCCATGGAAAAGAGATTTTTTTAAATAAACACGATTCCAAAGATGACACCAACCTGACCTACATTAGATAATTTTAATTTTGAAATCCAATATTAAGGCAATCGAATAACGAATTAGAAACAATCGAATAACGAAACAACTTTTTTAAATTTTCTTCTTAATGATGATTTTGTTTTTCAGAAAATGAATACCCCGGAGGGACTATGCAACCTCGCGGAGACCAGATATGGAACCACGCCATCCACGTTCAAGAAGGCGCCGAGAGCATAGCCAATCTGGGTGATTTCTTTCCCTTACATTTACCTTTCTTCTTTTTTTAATGTGCATGCCAGTTTTAATTTATTGATTTCTTTCGTTTATTACAATGTTGATTTTTATGTTATGATTATTATTATAAATGTGTCGTATTTTGTCAACTTCTAACCATTGTTAATTAAGTGCAATACAGGTCTTGTCTTATTAAATAAGTTTGAGGTAAAAATACTTGGTGAAAACTACGTGGGGATGCAATTAAAGTTGTTTGATCCTTGTCTGTTTTGTGATTCAATTAGAGATAGTTTTCAGTAGTTTGTCTTCTGCGTGTACATTACTGACACCCTTAGTTGCATTTGTTCTTAACAGTAGTATGTTTCAGTGTCAATCGTCTACAATTAAATTTTATTCGTCCTCGTATTAATACTTAATATAACTTAAAATATTATTTCAAAAAGGTTTATTAAATTATCTCTGCTCACATTGAAATACTTTATTGAGTTAAATTTATTAGAGAATGAAGAATTACATGACTAGCTACTCTTTCTAAATTTTGTTAGAAATAATTAGTCATGATGGGTAACTATAGTAAAGCAAGTAAGTTTACTATGAAGTAGAAATTTTACAAAAAAAGAGTCATTTTCAAATAACTTAATTTTTACGTCTTTTAATAATGAACACAGTGAAATTGAGAAAAAACACACTCATATTGAAATTTATTTCTGTCAAATTGAGAATAACCATTTTCACATTGAAAACAATAAAGTATAGATCTAAAATATGTGAAAAAAAGTAAAGTTTTAAAAAACAGACACATTGCTTAAAACCCACTTTTTAACAATAAATAATAATTCGAATAAACATATCAGATAAACTTAATGCAGGAACATATTACTAAATACTTAATGTATTTAATTCAGAAAACTGAGTTATCGAGTAATTATAAATTGTATCTTAGTTTGCCGGCCATTTTACTCTCTCATTCTTCATAAGAAGGGAATCTTTTGGGCGCCACAGTTGAAATGTACACAATTTGCTCTCAATTTACACCAAGGAAAGGTTATAAATATTTCTATTTGAGATTAGGTGCCACATTTGACTTATTTTCACCGTTCCTGTAACATGTTCTTTTCATTTTATTTCACAATTCGTTGCTAGGATATTTAAAAAAAAACTCTTACGTACTTCTTGTGGCCTCAATGTATAGTAAATTACATCTTCTAACATGTGATATTGTCAAAATCCATGTTTTGTAGGTCAATGGTACTTAAAAATCGATTAACGGCAAAACGTCGGTCTATCCGTTGGTCCGTTCGTCCGTCTGTCCGTCCGTTCGTCTATGGTGAACACTAGCACCATAACCGTTCAGCCGTTTTCCTTCAAAACTTATATTTCTCGATTAATATCGATGGACTCGAGATTTTGGGAATCTCAAACGGAGTTTTTTTTCCTTTTTAAGACTAATTTACATGAAGTCTCAACATCTTCAAAATTTTCTCAAAACTGGCGGTACAATTGTTTGATTGAACTTTATCCTCGGTTAGCGTAAATAAAACTTAAGAGAATGGCGCAGGTATATTTTCTTGAAGACCCTAATTTATCGATAATTGTGAAAGTGCAATGGTTTTTGGAGTCTTATTGGAACTTATACTGCATATAAAGATTATTTTCCTTAATGAAATATGATTTTTGAGAATAGATCTTGAATAAAGGTCATATTCAATTTTTCGAAACTAAGAGTGGTTTTCCTGTAATTTTGCGCAAAATATAATCGATTAAAAGTTTATTTAACAATTATTTTCTCAAAAACGCTCCATATTTTTTCTTTAGATGTTCTCCTCAAATGTGTGAAGGGACGCTACAAAATATGGTGTAAGTGCTATTTTTGCCGAACTCTTCGTATTTTCAAAATTTACAAAATGTTAACATTTCAAAACTACTGAATTGAAGATTAATATTTTTGCCTTACACAAAGTCTGTTGTAAAAAATCATCGCTTTACACATAGACATAAGATCTTTAAACAGGAGATGTACTTTTTTAAACGAGTAGATTTCACGTTATGTATCTAAAAATACCCAATTTAAAAAAAATACTCAAAAATAACTAAAATGTTTTTCTTTTAATTTGGTGCTTGTATAGAAGTTTAAAAAATATGGTGCTAGTCCCATTTTTTGCAAACTACCCATATTTTTGCAAAATTGCACAAAGATAACGTTCAAAACGACAGAATAGAAGATAACGATTTTTGCTTTAAAGTATGTTTTAAAACATTACCTCTTTAAAAAAATGAATTGCACATTTTAAAACATTCGAAAGATTTTGTAACAGAAATGTATCCAATTTCCAAAAGATTAATTTTCTTAAAAAGCGCTCCGAATTCGTTCAATAAATTTTCTCCTCGTACGAACGGGAAAACGGACGGTAAAAATATGGTTCTTGTCCCATTTCGTCAAACTGCGTATTTTCAAAAATGGCAAAAATTGCGTGTTGGGAATATTGGGTTCAGGAAATTACATTTTTAAGCGTCGAAATACACGGCGTTTCTATAACGTAGTGGTTTGGCTGCCGGCAAGATAACTCAGAGGATCTGAATTGTAGTCTCGGCGTTGAAAATATTTTTTGCTGGTTGAAAACACGTTTTCATGTTAATGTAGTAGTATAATATAGCAGAGCAGTTAAAATAACACGAGAAAGTAGGTTCTATTTTAGCACCGATATTTATTTTTCATTACATTTCACTTTCTAGCTATATTATGTGCAAAATTTTAAAAATAATTATTACCCTAGCAATTTCATTTATGTTTTTTATTGTATTTCTTGTATCTGGTATCATTTCTTTTATTTTGAATGACATTGGTAGCTTTTTTAACACATTTTTCAGATCTTATTAGAATTTCTAACATAGGTTGTACAAAATTTTTGATTTTCTTATAATATGTTTTAAAATAATCATGTAATTCATACATTTATGCAGTTTGCAGTGTCTTACTGAGTAGAATAGAATTTTGCAATTTATATCACGCAGAATACCGGTCGACAAGTCATATCTGTACCCGTTTTACATTTAAATTGGAAATGACAATAGCAGATTAATACATGTTTTAGAAAAATATTAATGTACGTTTGTAGAAAATGCACATGTTTACTTGTGTGATACTGCCGGAAATGTTTTTATCCGCAGGTGCAGACGCGGATTTAAGCAAGAAGACAACAGCGTGCAGCATCATTAACAAAAACATTCCCCAACGCTGACGTTTTAGTTTTAGCTTAGCTAACTATTGTATTAGGACGCAGTCGGCCTGCTGCGTGTGCCTCTACCAATGATGAATAGTGCTGGTGAACAACAACAATTAAAGTCAGTGCGTGGAAAACCAGCTATGTGCGCGTGTGAGTTAGTGTCGCTCAACAAGAGTCAGCGCAAGTCGCGCTGGCAGACTTTAAAGACCAGATCAGTAGTTAGTAGGATCCAACAGCCTAGCACAAAGTGAATTTAAATTTAGTACCTTATCTTTCGTGTTATTATTATTATTATTATTATTATTATTATTATTATTATTATTATTATTATTATTATTATTACTATTACTATTAATTTTATCTCTTTTTAAAAGTATTATGTTTTTTTTGTTTTTTTCTATCAATCATTTTAAATATGTATATATGTAAAATTACCAGAATACCAGACTGCCGCGTAGAGTAAGCGCAGACACTTGGAACATAGACCTGTTTTTCATTTCAAATTTATTTTCAACTTCCGTCTTTGTAATTAAAATGCTTTCAAACAATTTTTGTAATTCTTGCATTTGTTAACTTCATGTATTACGTTTTTGTGAGTTATTTTAAATCATGTTTGTTTCACTAACTACTTATTTGTATACCATAATGCATTTTACAATTGAATATGATACAACTTTTTTCTCTCATTTGTTTTTTCATGACGTGTGGTTAGGCAGAAGAGTGGGCTTGATGGCCTGAGCCTCGCCAAATCAATAAAGCAATTATTATTATATCTGTAAAGAGATTTTCATTATTGATTTTGAAAATGTGATATTTCATCTCATCTTCATATATCATATTATTTTTCACGTTAAGAGAAGTTAGTTATCTGTTAGTAGGTTAACAGCAAATGTAGTTTAGTTATCTGCGCCGGAACAACAATACACTTCAGCAATATATTTAGTTTTTTGTTTATGGCCTGAAGAAATGCATGATCAAGACACAAACCACTTCTAGCAGACGGTGTTTTAATGGAATTTAAGAAATGTTCAAAAACTTATTCATGAATCCAACTCGTATATCTGTGACCACTACAATATACTAGACTTTATAATTTTTGAATATTTGTATCTCCGACGATGTCGTAATTTTTAATGTGACGAACGTGGTTGAAAGTTTGTATAAGATTGTTTTAGAAATGTATAAATTGCAGTCAATTCAAAACCATTATATTGTACCATGAACGAAAAATATACAGAATCGGAATTGATTTATTACTTGAGTTTTAACTTAAATGTTTACTAAATGACATTAAGACGGAACTGTGATATATGTTTGCCCCATCTTGATGAGCTTCACATTGTTTCAATTTTGCACAGAGATTACATATGACAGCTGCTTTGAGACTGGACCACGCACTTTCGTTAAGAAGAAAAATTGTGCTGGAAGGTCTTTTGTCGATCCCAGGCAACGAAAAGTCTTAAGTTTTCTTTCTGTGGTGATCCCTGTGCTAGTGCCCACGTCTCTAGTGGAAATGTTTAATTGTTCCACGAAATCACGGATGTGAAGGAGCTTGAGACACCGTGGTTTTCTGGAGAGGTAACCGTCTGCGAACCCCGGGGACCCAACGATGCTGAGCCTCTGCCCTAAGAGAAGAAAGGCAATGACTAACTACGACGGACGATGACTGATTGGTTTAAGAGAGGATTTCTCCACAGTTCCTTTGGACGTAAAGGGCTCATGAAACGTTTTTGCGAAAAATGTAACAGAATGTTTTCAAAACTGTACCCCTCTGTACCTCGCCCGCCTCAGAAACACGTTTTTCTGCCCACGACCGGAAACGATTCACAAAATCTGACTCAACCGATCACTGAGAAACATCGGCAGTCTGGACGCCCGGCCAGCAGCCGATATTACACAAATCACCACAATGACTGCACCTGTACGTTTACTTCTGTGAATCCCTCTCTCATCTAGTTTGTATTTGAGAAGGAATATCCTTTTTATTGTGCACATATAATTTCCATGCGCCAATGGTATTGTGGCGTCATACGGGTGTAATCGAACACAGACGAGAGTGGTTTGCAAAAGAGTAGATTTATTACAACCTAGACCGTAGTCTCAATTTAACAACTACCCTGCTCACAATAAACTAAATAAATAGACCCACTACAAGAAGAGTTAATTTAAGAACGGCTACCACACCGCAACATACCACCGATGTTCCCTGTATGAAGCCGCTCTACTTTGAGACCATCTACGTGTCTCGCAAGTCACGACAATGAATTGCCGGCCCCTCGCCCTAGTGCACCTACACGCACAGACACGCATTTCACCTGTCGCCGACTCCGCTAAAACAAGAAGACTGGGGCATTGTTCTCCTGGCCTTATATAGGCCCTTTTGGCTCTACCCGCCGCCCCCATTGCCTCCTCCCCAAAGCTGCTCTGGGCCCGCTACGTCCACGGAAAGTCCCAGTGCGTCATTACTCCGCCCTTTATTTAACATCCGACGGTTTGAGCGTGGCACGACGCTACAATATTCTATATTTTATTACTCAACTCCACACAAGCGTTCTGACTAGCAACGATTCTACAGGACAAAATCAGTTTTGAGGCACAACTCAAAAGGGTGAGGAAGCGACAGCGGAGTAACTTCAGTTGGAGTCACCCGGGGCAAAACCAACGGAATCATACTCCAAATCAAATATAAAAAGATCAATTACTGAATTAATTACACATTATTTAATAAAATACAAGTATACACTTGGTTTTTGTTAGTATTGCCTCTTACTTTTATCACCAGTTCACCCATTAAGAAAAAATAATTGAAGTCGACACTCTTTGACCATTTAACGTTTTTGGTTTGTAACCCCTACGCGTGTCTGTCTGTCTGGAACGGGAATTGGAATTTCAATAATAATGGTCAAAAACTTTTGCGTTAACAAACATTTACTTAAAAAAATAGATGATGATGATGATGATGAATTACAATTATTTTACAATTTTTAATAAAAATATAAAACAACCCTTTCTTTTATTA